AAGCATTTCTAAAATTGAAGAACATCTGAAAATCAAAACAGCTATCAATCAACATTAAAGTCATAATTTTCGAAATAAGCATCATATTGTATGGAGATGAAACTTGAAGAAATACATAAACCATTATCCGAAAGATATAGGTGTTTATTAACAGTAGTTGCCTACTGAAGATACTCCGAATCCGTTTAGCAAGATAGCATCAGCAACAACTTACTACTGTAAGAGAGAACAAATCAGATTCCAGATGAGTAAGAAATTAAGAAAAAGCGTTGGTGACGAATAAGACACACATCACGGAAAGCACCCGACTGCTGAACATAAGGGGAAGCCCTAACTTGCAATCCTAAAAACTAAGGAAAAAGCGAAAGACCGAAGAACACATTACGCTGAGAATCGGAGACAAATGTGAAAAGAATAAACAACTCTTGGGTAGAACTGGAAAAGAAGGCCCAGGACAGAGTAGGTTGGCGGCCTACGTACGCTTCAATAGGGGTAACAGGAGCAAGTAAATAAAATTCGGCAATAAAATTACATTCTACCACTCCATGTGTTCAGCATTTTGAAGAATCTTAGAAAACTATCAATAAAATTCTTTTTCCCATTAAAACAAACTGAAGTCAGTGGGAGCATAACCAGAGGAGTATTCAGTACACACATCAATATGGCTCATATTGTTTAACAGATTAAATTCTTAACGTGACAGTACCATCTATATATATATATATATATTTTACTGGAGAGTCTACAGTTAACTCATTATCAAATCTTCGTGATTACCGCTAATACTTCTACTACCTCTACCAACTATGGGATTTGAATCGAAAATTCCACCTCTGCATGCTGATGTCAGATGGCAATTTGAACACTGATGTACATACGTAAGTACCAAATACTACATTGTGACTGACTGACTGATTAACTGATTGAATTCATTATCAAGATATATATATATATATATATATATATATATATATATATATATATATATATATATATATATATGGTGTTAGTGATAAGAACGTCTATAAAACTTTGAATAATAAACATTCCATACCGGCTTACTAAATTATTCATTATAAATATTGTACATTGAGCTTAAAAAAAAAATAAATGGGTTCATTTAAAAAACAATAATGAAGTTGGATTAAAATTACTCTCAATCAAACTATCATAGACGCAATTTTTGTAATTAAACTGAATTACACTTAAATAAGGATTAACAATAATAATAATACAATTATCTAAACCAAAAGTACTTAAAACAAAAAAAAGATGAAATTTGTAATGTATTCCATAAAACACAACTACAATTTATCAGATATAACTAATAAGAATATCAGTTACGTGTCGATAATAATCTCTACAACTAGGCTCGATTAGCTTTTGCTAACCTGCGTCACTTTTATGGCGTAGGTGAGATATTCGATTGTTAACCAAAGGGCGAGTGTACTGCGTAGCAGCTAGGGAGGCGGCGGCCAAACACCAAAACATGGCAGAATTCTATGAAGTCATTGACAAGTGGACTAAGTCATGTTGGTAGATGTAAGCTACCTACCTGGTTGAGGTCCGTGAGATGATAGTCATCGATGGTTAGAGACCTTGACCGACATGGCTGAGAATCAATTGCAAAGGCGCAGGTGCATCCACTCTTCTCCCTAATTCTAACCTTCTGAATTCCTCATAATCTCTGTCTTTATCTTTACAAATTTATCTCACTGAATTATATCCTTCTACTATCGCTATCACTCTTGGATTTGAACTGACAGTTGCTTCTCTGTGTACTGATGTGGTATGCCAACCTGAACTGATGTACTTATGTACGAAGTTCTGTGTTCTATCTGTCTATCTGTCTACAACCATTCATCCTAAAAATTTACTATCCAATAGCTAGGGAAATGAGAAAGGCATCAAAAAAAGCCATTTTCCTGTTAAACTATGTTGTCACCAAAATCTACAATGTTCAATAATTTATCCATTTAAAAAGATCATAACAAAAAATTAACAATTATCTATCTGTTTGACTAGTTATTGTAAGTAAACATTCTGTATATATATCTATTGACATGTGTTAAAAACACAAGTAACAATTATATTGAAGGTGCATTAGGTGAATCGGTGGTATTCGGCTCATTCAATCATTAATTAACTGACAGTAAGTAGTACATTATTTTCTTGTTTGTTCTGTTTAGATGAAGTAAAAACCAAGAAAAAAACGTCACAAGATGTAGTTAGTACAATCAGTCAGTCAGTCAGTCAGATGAGCCCTACATGTGAGAGTAACGGTTGTCATAAATAAGCAATTACTAATAATCTATATATATATATGTATACATAGAACGTGATCTGAAAATATGCATCCCTAGTTCCATAAATTAATTTGAAAAAATCACATAACCAACAACAACAAACAAACAAACACATAATATTTATATAGAATAAAAAATAAATTTGTTTAACTTTTTTTTAAGTTATGACTAATGTTAAGGCCAAAAATAATAATAATAATAAGAATAAGCTGTGAAGAATGTTGAAGATTGTAAGGAAACAAGAGAAAAATAAAACACATATCTATCTTTATTGAAGTTTGAAAAAAAAAGCATGCATCAGTATTTTGAATGAATAAATGAATGTTTTTGTTTATTCTGAATAATGATAAGAAGTTTTACAAATTACTTGTACTGGGTATTATATCAATCAACGATAGTGCAACATCAGTTGAGGTGGTTGAGACATGTGCTGTGTATGCCTAACCACCGACTGCCTCGAAGAGCTTTGGTTTGTACTGTAGGAATAGGTTGGAAGAAAGCTCTAGAGGTGGCCAAACCAAAACATGGCAGAAATCCATGAAGTCATTGACAAGTGGACTGAGTCATGTCGGTAGTTGTCGACTACTTGGTTGGGGTCCGTGAGATGATAATAATCGATGGTTAGAGACCTTGCATGACATGGCTCAAAACCGTTTGCAATGGCGAAGGTGCATTTATTGTTTGTGTTCTCTCAAATCCTAATCTTCTGGATTCTTCAGCACCTTTTTAGTTTTGACTTTCTAAACTTATCTCACTGAATCATACTTCTTGAATAATATCTTCTAATCCTAACCTCTCCGATTACTTCTAATACCTTTACTACCTCTACTACTATTGGATTTGAATTGACAATTACATCTCTGTGCTGATGTGGTATGGCAACATGAACTGATGTACTTATGTACGAAGTTCTACGTTGCATCTGACTGACTGACTGACTGTGCAACAATAATACACATCGATGGTTAGTGATATTATACTTTATGAATAAAATGTGTATGTAAGATGTGTGCATATCATGAAGGAGTGGAAAGTAAATTGAATTATCATAGATTACACAATTATTATATTTTGAAATGAGTCTTAATGGCAGTACTTATTAATTTGTAATATATTGGTAGAAATTTACAGCTTGAATTAGAATTTTGATGATGATATGCAGCCCATAAAAAGAAATAAGATTATTTGAAAGACATTCAGTCAGTCAATTACATTGTAGAACTTCATACGTTAGTACATCAGTTCAGGTTGCCACCATATAACATTAGCACAGAGAAGAAATTGTCAGTTCAAATCTCACAGTGGTAGCGATAGAGTAGAAGTATTAGCGGTAATGGAGAAGATTAAAGTTCGAAGATACTATTCAGGAAGTATAATTCAGTGAAGTAAATTTAGTCCACCTTTCAGTGACTTCATGGATTTGTACCATGTTTCGGTTAGGCCGCCCCTAGCTTTCTTCCAACCAATTCCTACATCGCACAACATAGCTCGACGAGGCAGTCGGTGGTTAGGCATACGGGAACACATGTCCCAACCATCTCGACTGACGAAGTTTCATTACTTTATCTATTGATCTGCCATCCCTACCTAGAACTCGTTTCCTTACGACAGCATTGCTTACTTCGTTGTCCCAGGATAAACGAACAATGTTCCGAAAACACCAATGATCGAATACTAAGAACCTATGAATATCCTCTACTCTTACCGACCATGTTTCGCATCCATGTAGTAGAACGGAGCGAACTGATGCGCAATAGACTCGTCCTTCGATTAGCAGACAGATATCTCGCCTACGCTATAAATGACGCAAGTTGGTGAAAGCAAGTCGAGCCTTCTGTATCCGTGCTGAGATTTCGTCAGACATCAGGCCGACAGCACTAACGAGACTCCGTAGATAAGTGAAGTGATTGACACGCTCAACTACTTCATTCCCCATCGTCACTAGTTCAAGTTCAAGCCAATCCTGAAGCAACATTTTGCATTTCAAAGAGGAGAACCACATCCCGAACCTTCTTGCATTGTTGCTCAGAGTGATCAGAAGACTCAGCATTTTGTCTGCGTCTTCCGCAAACAGAACTATGTCGTCGGTATATTCTAAGTCAACCAACGAACCTCCTGGTAGAATGTCAACTCCTGGGAAGTCAGACGATAAGTGTTATCTCTCAAAGCATGTCAAAAACCAAATTGAATAAAAATGGAGAAAGCTGACGAACACCACTTGGGGTAATGCATTAGTTACTAAATATTTTACCACGGAGAAATGTGAGCATAACGAATTTTGTTACAACTGACAGTGAAAAAGTGAAAACCTCAAAGATTAAATTGTAATGGTTTAGACAACTAGAATGTAGTACTTTCTAAATGTAGTTAGAGTTAGACTATGTAAGATGAAATCGTAGTAAATGCTAATCAGTGAGAACTACCTTCTCATTAATGATGAAGTTATATACTTGGTAAATAACACAGTGTTACCAAGCAACAAAAATGCAACCAAAAACTAGTGGTGTACATCCAAGACTGAGTTGCACTTACAGCATAACGCGTAGAATATATTTCGTACAGTTGGTTGCGCTTTAGTTTAGATGTAGTTTACAAATAAAAAGAGAAATAACCAAAATTTCTGAGATGTTGATATGAAAAATAGCATGTACGATCATGTAATACGTATAAAATCATGAACCATAGGGAACATACCTACTTAGAATCAGATCCTTGACCAATAAACTATAGCGAGTAAGTACTCCCGTCCTTTGGATCTGAAAAAATATATATATAAAGAAATTCGCCCATTAAGTTATCCTGTTTGAAACAAAAAGTATGATATTAGTATTTTTATTTTAAAAATGCAAATAGTTTCAAGATCATATAAGCCTGACAGGATCACGTGTGTGGTACCTGAAGCTGAATAAAACTGTATTCGATTACTGAATTAAGTCGAATGAAATTAATTCTGAAGACGAATTGTACTATTGAAACGAATGGCAAGACTGTCCTCACTAGTAGTGATATTCATTTGGAAAACGTCAATCAAGTAGAATCTCTTTGTATGCTTTTTTACTTTGCAATTTCCGTAAGATTTGTAAACTTACTGGAGTGAGAAAAATTTGTGAAAAATTGGTGAGACTATGCAAGAGCACAATCGATCTTTCAAAGGATTGTGATGTGATTTAAAATTTGTAAAGACCAAAAGTTTTGGTAAAAGATATCACAAAATTACAGATCTATAGAAAACTTATTGATTTTTTTTACTTAACTCGTTCAATAACTGTGAAAACTGTATGTACAACGAGAAACTAAGACAAATGTCAACCTCTAGTGCTGATGACAATAGCAAACATGTATCGTCTTCTGTGCTTTTTAAGCGCAGATTTTCTATCCAAAAAATTACCCACAAACTAAATTTAGGAGCATCATCTATGTACATAACTAGTAAGGTGTATTACAATGAGATTAGGTGCATCTACAGTGCGTGGTGCTACCAAATTCAGTTAAGCTAAACACGAAATGCTTTCCACAAAAATTAATTCAGCTGGACTCTTATTTTACCTCCCAGATATCTAAGAAAAACTGGCGTGTTACTGCTTAGTAGGCGCACACTTGACCGTTAATATATGAATCATGTCTAGATAGTAAATGATAGAGCTTGACAACAATACTAAAGTCATTTGCAAGTAGACTATAATTACACGAAGATGGTATAAAATAAAAAGGAATCTCAAGTATAAACTTATCAGTGACAACATAGATAAAAGGATTACAAAATGCTAAAAATTATAACAGATGCATTTTACGATAAACCACAGGGCAACAAGTTTAACTAGATAGATTCCCATATACCGAAGTCCAAAATATCACAGAACTCATAATTAAAACATACTAGTTCATATGATACTTTGAAAATATAGAAATTACATAAAACTTTTAGAAAGTTCAGTCTAAATGAGAAATTTCGAGTGCACTAAACAATAAACATATCTACTCAATTCTGCTGTCGTATGTCTACAAATTCTTGTATCAAAATCAAGGATTGCAAAATTGACTGAGCGACTACAGCCAAAAGTCCAGTTTTCTAGGTAGGTGATAAACGTTTCTTGCTCGATCTTAGGCTATTCTCGCTTTGGCTTTACGTTATCTGGAACCGTATATCAAACTCAGCAGCAACTCCGAATGATACAGAACTGCAGTGCTAACTAATTGTCTTATTAAGTCATAAGCTTGCAGTTCAAATCATGTAATCAAGTATAATTTTTCTGGTTGAGTTGTTCAATAATAACGACTTATGAGTGAAGAAACAGATTAAATTTGGCTGCAGTAGGGGATCCTATAAACCTTCTATATTCCTTTGGAACCCTGAGCCAATATCAGTAGTCGCCTTTATTCCGACGATATTATGCTCACAGACGTTCAATGACAACTGATATTACCGCAATTTTCTATTCAATCACGGATAAGTCAACCAACTTCTCATACTATAAACCTCCCCTGTTGTTGATTTGATCTTCAAAGCGATATATTGGACGGATACATTTGTTCAAGGGCGCACAACACTCCTAAAATCACCGCATATAGCATCTAATATGTATCACCAGGTACGGTGAAACTGTCCACTGAAAATTTCAGGTAACATGAATCTCCGCCAAATTCTAGCTTTGGACTTTATTTTCTGTGAAATGTTCCTTTTTGAAAATCTTACTGCCTTCATACAAAACCTTTCAGTTTCGCATCACATTTGTATATTATCTCCCAGATAACTGTGTAACCGAGTGACTAGAACTACGACAGCGTACCCTCACCCCTAAAAGAGATAACGGAAAAGCCTACTGATTTAGGCTTGCTTATTACGAAGAACGAAAAATAACGAATACTAAATACTAGCCAGTTTACAATCCATATGGGCTACAGACATTTACAGGACTTAAAACATCAAGATTGAACACTTTGAAGCGCCTTTTACCTAGATCTTCTTAATTTTAACGACGTTCAGCACTTGTAAGATGACGATTTAAGGAGGAAAACTAGGAAAATGTAACTGAATGCCGAGTGACCTTCAAAATATGTACTTAGAGAGTTCCGAACTCCCATTGGCCAGGTTAAAAAACCCGCTAGCAAATTGTATGACAAAAGAATCGAGGATCGAAGTATACCAATACAAAGAGCATGTGAATAGTAGATTTTAGGTGTTTGTGTCCGATCAATCAGTTCAAAGAAAACCTTTTGTTCTACCAAGGGTAAATAAAATATTTTGGCCCAGCAGTATTATGGATATTGACCTGGCTTTCGAGAATGGTTATCGAGAAGAACTATAAAATTTAGTGTTCTTATCTCATCACTATACTGGACAGGACAGTAATATCAATGGAATTCAATTCAAGAAGAACGGAAATTAAAGTGGTCACTATATTGTACTTGAGGTACTGATTTAGGAGTTTGAATGTGAAGACATGGAATATCCACAGCCTCAGGAATTTCTGGTATAGTTAGTGAGGTTCAAGCAATGAGTAACACAGAAATGGGAAGAGAAAGAAATGCATTCAAAGTGCATAAGTTTCAGGCTAATAAATTTGACGTTTTTCTCTTTTCTCTCAGTATGTACACAAGTTTGTAACCATTTATTCGGAATTCCTTTCCCTCCATAACTACCGATAATGTCCTCCGTTATTTATGTAAAGAGAAACAGCTCTGTTATAGAAGGATCTTAAGTTTGTTGTGGAACTAATAACCTGGTACTTTTATATTCTAGTAACAAACAAAATCTTCCCAGAAAAATTAGTGCCTACCCTAAGATCTTCCTAAGACCAACACGATGAAATACTCATACGCCTAAACACCAGATGTTATACGAATCGGTATGCTAAAAATCGAAATGGTGGTCTCTGTATTCGGCTTCTTATGCTACTTGCAATACCACGCTCCCCTGAGTTACCCGACAATTTAGAAAAATTCCTAAAGTTCGTTCAGGACCTACACTGAATAGGTACCTAACCCAATATAGAAGCTTGAGCTAAGTTATTTTCTTGCACAACGTCAGTTATGGCGACGATATATTCCAGAAAAGGCATGCAAGATCGTGCTTGAATTAACACACCACATATTTATGCTATCGCCTTAAAAGACTCACATTCCTAAATCATAAAATGGAGGTGAGATTTCCGATCAGAGAATATGATTGTGTGGAAATAGTTTCAGCCCGTTCGTGTCTGTAGAACTGGGCATTCGGTATCAGTGATGCTGATACTAGAACCTGTGTAAACAACCCTTTTTCATCCAACTTTGAAAACCTTAAACTAGTAGCACTTCATAAATATAAATCCAATTACCAGAAAAACCTAACTCTTAAACCTATACCAACGGTCTCATTTATAAATAATAAATAAATAAATGATAACAATTATACCAAAACTAAACAGAAACATCGATAATGTATCCAGTCATTCAATATTCCATAAGTAATCACACAGAAATTTCACCGGAATACGTCTTTTTAAGCGCTCAGTTTATCTGTCTATTTTCACAAACTTATGTCTTGCTCTTTTTAATTCATTACAATCAAGGTATTTTTTGTGTATGCTTTATATCACTTATTATTACGAACCTTCCTAACGACAGACATAAACTGATAGGTCGCCATCGCAGTTACTACATGACGTTCATGACTCGACTGGCAATGGTTGAAATAGTCTAAAAACAATGATGGATACTAGATCACACATGATGTTTATAACAACATTTGGATTAACGGAACCTGAAGATCTCTTGACTCCATTTTTCTCGTATTACCAGTAGAATAATTGAGAAGGTTCCCCTTTTCGGATCACGTACGAAAAATCATGCACCAGATGAAAAATCAAAAGGTCTAGTCGACAATGCTGGTCCATACATTTAGTCAAGAAAATTAATCCTTTGTTCTGGAGTTTTAACAGGCAATTTGACCCTGTCAATAATTCGCTGACAATTCCGTTGTTTTTTATAATGCGCGTGCCCATCGCTCCATGTGTTACAAACTCAACCTTTTAAGGCACTTTTCAAGGTCTACTGAAAACAATCTACTTTTCGGTACCACATTGGGACATTTAAACATTCTGGGGGAAATAAACCTGGTCTCATCTTGTTGGGTGACAATCAAAGCAGCAAATCGGATAAATGTAATTGTACCTAAGTGGAATTATTGTGTGATAGGTCCGGCTTTCTCCATCAACTACTGTCTTCCTAGTTTTTACGGCAGCATACACACGTCCATTCACATGCAAAGATAGAACTTGTGGAAACGTTGCTGAATCTACACTAAGTAGTTTACGAGGACAGTCAAATGTAACGTTACAATTTTGAGTATCTTTCTGGTTCTGTTCGTGCGTAACGTATATTCACTCACTTTTACCATTATCATTTACCTCCCCGAAAATTTATATCTCACGTATTTTCCTTTTTAATTTATCACTTGCGCCCTTGAATCCATAAGGTAACATGTTTAGTTATAGCGTTGCTACTGAGTCTTACACTATAACAGCTTGGAAAACTAGGAGAGTTATGAATCCCGGGTTAGTAGTCGGTATGGAATCCCGTCTGTGGCAACGGAATTGTGAAAAAACTGAAAACGCTACTCGTTAGTGAACCCCAGGGTTACTGACTGAGTATTGACTGAGATCGTAGGGCGGTAGGGTTGACGAATAGTAAGCGACCCATGGAGTTCGAGTTGTGACCGAAAGTCTTCTACGGGTAACTATACCAGATTGAGCGAAGGAACCAGAAACGACCATAGAGACCAAGTTCGAAACCATATGCATACCAGAACATCGAGTGAGTGCATTGATGAGAGAGTGGGTGATCAGACCAGCTTTCGCCAAGATTGACTGAAATCGACGGTACCAACAGGGCGATGGTCATAGACGTGGGCTCAGAATAGAAAAATGAAAGAGAAAGAGAAAGGTGAAGCATGCAGATAATATGAGGATAGTGTCTTATGACGTATCGGTTGTTGATTTGGATATTAGCCGCGAAAGCGTACGTACGCGGTGGCCGGAACGCGAGACGGTGGTCTCGTACGTACCTTGTGAGCCTCAACCGCATCCGAAGTCAAGGGCGGCGTGGTGTATTTGTCTGAACACGAGACTGAAGTCTCGTCCGTAGACAGTGCAAATGACACGTGCTGTTTTCAGAGACATGAGAATGAGGTCTCCAGAGTGGGGTCCGAAGGAGACATTTTGGTCCTGATAGTAAGCTGGACCTGTCTAGCATTGAATTTCGGTTTATTGAGTGGGCACTATCATCTATATGTGCTGGTTTGAGACGATCAATGCTGACTGTGTCCATCAACTTCAAAGGTCTTTTCGTGACGAGAGATCACTTTGAAAGGTCCTTCGTAAGGCTGTTGCAAAGGGTTGCGTACCGAATGTAGGAAGATCAAGCACTAGCAAAGTAAATGCACATATTTCGATACGTGACAGAGCATCCGCAACACAGTTCGACTCGCCTTTAATACGACGGTCTGTCGTGAGTTGAGAGATGTAGTCCAAATATCTGCACTGTCGTGGTGAGTAGCAGTCAGATTTGGAATGCGGAGATTCCGTTAGAGTCTTATGGTCGGTGAAGAGGGTCAAGCTAGGACCTTATACTGCACGCCGGCAATGCTTGGTGGCACAAAAGGCTGCTATCAGCTCCCCACAAAAAGCTCTATATCCCATCTCCGTAGGAGTGAGGCGTCGTGAGATAAATTCGATAGGTTGCCAACTTCCAGAGATATTCTGTTCCAAATCTGATGCATCAACCGCTATGCTGAGTGTGGTTGATGGATCAGAACGAGCGAGAAGCGTGGCGCGAGCACGTAAAATAAGCAGCCAACGTGAAGAAAGGGGCCGGCGAACACGGCCGCATTTACTCGCCTAATCACGAGTTTCCTGCCTTGTATTAGCCGGGGGCTTGATAATGACGGGCATTCGACATAAAAGTACTGTGTAGCTAGCGCAAGCCGGTACGTGCTCCCGAAGACTTATGGTTTGAAAGATGCTCTCTTGTAACGAGTACTTACAGCCTTGATCTGGCTCGGGAGACGTGAGGTTCTGGAATAGAACGGTCCCGAAATTTGAGATGGATATGAATGCAGCAACCCCAATCTCTTTGAGCCTGGAAGCGACTAGCATCCAGGTCTACGTTCGTGTGTGACATTGAGGCCATCGTGTAGCTCTCTCGTGTACTAGTACGCGCTACAATTTTGTCTGCTATGAGGGCAACCCGTTTAAGTGGCGTGTTTTCGAGCAGAGTAGTGATCGTAAGCTGAATGTGTGCTGGCAAGAATTCGAGCCAGAGTTATTTGACTATTTCAAAGTCAGCTGTCATAGATCCTGTCAAAGAGTACAGGCGCGTGAGTTGGTGGTTTGGCTTAGTATTGCCCGGGGAGTGACGTGCTCATAAGGTCCTCAGTCGTTCCTCCCTTGATGGGAGGAAATTTCTGATAACGCCAGCTTGAGACAATCGTAGACTTCCGGTACATAAGAATTGGGGACCACCTCATGGACGGCAGCAGTAAGGTCCTCAGGTAAGTATTCCAAATCGTAGGCATACATCTGCCGCTGGTTCGTGATGCGGTGTATCTCGAATTGAGCATCCAGTACCGCGAACCAGACTTCTTGGTTATGGGGAATAAAAGAAACAGGTTTAAAATTGATGATCTGTAATTGGGAGACTGTTATATTATCGTCATTTTCCAGTCTCACATTGTTAAAGTCTGTTGCGGAATATAGTCTGTATTTTAAAAAATATCAATATATTAGAAGCAACAACTATTATAATGGTATGCAGTGTGGATAGAAAAGTAAAAGACTCACCGTAATTGACTTGATTTTGGCAGATCTGGCTGCAGTTGATGCGTGTCCAGAGTGGTCGCTAACTACTGTAATGAAGCAAGACTACTTATCGCGAGATAACCAAGTTAAATTTCGTTAAGGCCAAAAGTCAAAAGTCCACCTGTGATTGGAGGACGAGGTGTATTGATTGATGGTTTCGTGATGTCGAAAAGATATCAAGATAGTTAAACAACCGAAGATAAAATCCATCGATGCATCGAGCTACGGTAGCTGTTATACTCGTCAGTTGATATGCTTGAAACGATTGCGAGTTTCACTTAGTCGATAAACGAGAACGAAACAATGAACCAGTGACACTGTGATGCACTACCCCCAATAACTGAAGTAAAAGTCTTGATACGGCGTAGAAAGTGTATTCTACAAACACCCAGCAAACATACTGATCTCAAGTGTACATATCGCTTTAATTTATGCATTATAAAAACGCCTTTGGAAGAATCGCAAAAATAGCGTACTGAAATAACACATCAATCAATCACATACAAGGATTTTTCTGGTGGGAAATGTACCTTCAAGGTCAGCTGATCAGCCCGCGACTAAATCCAAAATTAAGACTTTCATCATGTGAGTTCTGGAGATGTAACGTCCTCACCTAAAGTGCGCAAGTAGTGGTTTTTGTACAGTTAGACAAACGGAGAACAATGAATCAACCATTAGTAGAATTTGCTGGAGAAATCTACTTGGAATCTTGAAGACTTTTGGGTAAATAATCCCTTCTAATCTGAATCAGGCTCGACAAACGATGGTCTGTATGAGCAGCTGCCGTAATATCAATAAATATCCAAGCGCGAACCATTATAGTGGTTCACGAACTGGATAACTCGGTTTAAAGTGTTATTTAAAAATCCGACCACGGATGTTGCTACAGAGGTTATAGGACACATCATCAAGCACCTAACTAGCAAGCTAAAGGACTAAGAAGTGAACTGTCAGAGGTCAGGAATACGTTCACAGGTGGACCTGAGGGTCTCACTGAATGATTCCGACTGTTGTTCGTACTCAGCATTCAGAAAATGATGCATTGCCTAGGTTCGAAATGACGGTGTAATGAGCGCATTTTTGTCTAGCACACAGGACTCGCCCCAGCTTTTGGACAACCTAGTGATTGCTGAGATCTTTAAACACACTTCACCTATCTGTTAAACAATATCCGACTTACTTCTAACTTAGTATGAAAAAATCTAAAATTTCTGTAATCAGGATACTCTCCATGATGTGTCAACATCATCCTATAATCTTGCATGTTGAAGACTTCGGTTCACCGGTATGAACCGAGCTTGGTATTCACTTAAGTTACATCAACTCTCAGCTCCATGGAAACAAACTACTTTCCCTCCAATCTTAAAAGGAGGAGAAAAGAAGGACCCAGCTTGTTACAGGCCAGTCGCATTGCTACCAATAATATCGAAGGTAACGAAAGGAATGATGGTTGTGGAAGTGAAGGAATGTACGAATAATAACAAAATCATTTATGAAGCTGAACACATGTTTCAGAAAAGAAGGTCATGCTCATCCGAACTTATCTTAACATGTGAAAACTGGATAACTTGCAAGGACAGAAAAATTACCGGCTAGTATAACATATCTTCATTTTGGAAAGGCTTTCGACACCATTCCTCATGTACTGCTAATTGGAAAGGTTGCGAGGACCCACTTCTGTCTTTGTTCAGAATCTACCTTGAGAATAGAATGTTTAGCACCAAGACAAATAAAGTGCATACAAACTGACAAGTATCAACATCAGGATTTTTACGGAAGACCATCTAAGGTCCACTCCTCTTCCAGATATTCTTTTGTGACCTGCTCGATCAAATTAGCTCAGCAGCACCAATCTACGCGGATGGTGCCAATATCAGTAGGTCCATCAAAAGCAAAGAGCATTAAAGTGAGCTACTGAGGAATGAGCCGTGAACAACGGGTTAAAACTCACCCAGTCAAAATGTCACGTCGAGAACCCCCTTTTCAAATGATACGAACGACTTATACCATCAGTGGAAGTCCAATGCTCATCGACTCTTCAGAGAGCGATTTCGGTATAATGACTTGCACATCAGGCTCATCAATGTAGATTTCGGAGTTGAAAGTCTATGAGCACGTTTATAAGCTGACAAAGTTTGGGTCCCAAACGTTATCCCAAGTCTTGAGTTGAAATATAGAAGACGGGATAGTCGAGATGAAATGTGTATTTGCTATCGATTTCGTGGTAGCAAAAGAATACCGAAAAATGGTAGAAAAATGGGTGAAGGTAGTGAGGAACAAAAGTAAGTTAGCGCGTTACGAAGGTACGAATTAACAAATCTTCGGTGAAACCTTCACTGGTACAACTGGTCATAATAATGAACATTGTTATTTAGCCAATCGTGTTTTTCTTCGTAAAAGTATTATCATTACAGTCTACTTAAAGCCTAGATACCAGTTCGAACTACATAGAGTACTCAGCCAAGACTATTGAGGTTCTTCGTTTTATTCGAAGAGAGCTCGGTGCAATCACATCAGAATTATTTTTAATTCAATTTAAGACATACGCACTCCCGAAACTTGAGGTTTACAATGTCGTCGAATATCGTATCCTTAAAAGAGAAATGAATCTCCTGGATCGAGTGCAGAAACGTGAATTCAAATGAATGATAGATTTGGAGAACAAGCATTACTAAAAACGGCTGATATACTTGGGATTATTCTCCCTGAGTTAAAAGAGAATCAGAGGTGATCTGAAATAATCTTCACTACTTAGTCGTTAGCTTATTTCTTTCTTTACTTAAGTAGTTCTGAAATCTCCTAGTCATTAGCACTGGAATTTTCTCTTTATTATTCTCCGACCTGAAAATATGATAGCTATTGGTATCAAAAACCCTACTACCCTGAGATAAATGCACTCATTCAATTCAGTTGACATACTAATTCAAAAATAAGTTCCAGAACTAGTGCAATCGACTAGCTAAGCAGCCTACCATTATACACCGTGAAATAGCTAGTGCCTTTCCAAAAGAACATGAATCGAGCGCAAGCGTACCAGTCTGTTTATAATAGCTCGTGAAACATATACTGGATATTTGACTATAAATACTTGGTCGTGCCTCATTGCATAGAGTTGGATCACTCCTCTTCTTAACTTCTCTTTGCTTTGCTCGTACGTTTTTTATTTTCATGTCTGCCTGTGTGAGCGTTAGGATGAATTGAACTCATTCATGTGAATCGGAATGATAGGCAGAAACTGAAGGGAATCTTTATTTCATAGCATATTCTGTGGTCAGATTCCGAGCCACTGAAAGTGACTTGCAGGGAGCGTCACCATGATGAAAGTGTAGGGATCAGAATATGTTATCACAACGATCATAACCCATAAGACATTCTGGTCATTTATATAGTCACCTCTGTAAGTTTGAGGCCAAACCTGCACTATATAGTCAACTGTGTGTCTGGTCTAAACAGACTCTCAAGGATATGGAAGCGAACAGTCAAATATTATGTGTTGTAAACAGAAACCTGAGTTTAAACGTTTTAGTGGACATAAATCATGTACTTTTTATCGTTCCTCGGGATGAAACCAAAATGTTCGAAGTCGTGGCGGTGCCTTAGAACTCTTCCTACTGATATCGAATATTCGGATTAAGCCTTTCGAAATACGTCCACCATGATATTCTATCATCATTGTGAAGTGCTTAAGTGACAACATCTTTACACCCATATTCTTTATATACGGTGTACTGAAAAAAATCAAAAGTATATTTGTTGCTGCAACAGGCACACTGTGAATCTAACTATGGCTGGCAATCTCAGTATTGAACTGCGTAGCTACAAAGTGGAACTACAACTAGGTACTCTGGTGAGGGTTATATGATGGTCAAGGATAGGAATGACTCACTGTTCAAATTGTTTGCTCGACTTTAAAATTCCTTAAAACAATGGAAAATTTGTTTGAAGGTGTAGCATAAAGGCTTTATGCATTCTTACTTTGAAACTGAAATTCTGAATTTATGTTATGTTTTGGTGATTGTTTCACACATACTAGCACGGGAAATATCGTTCTGTTACTATCACACAATAGTAGAGTATGGTCTATCTTGAACAAGAACAGCGAATCTGATAAATCAGTTCTTGTTTTATAGTACTCAATTGATCATACATTAGTGTTCCAAAAACGCGCGTTGTGTGTATTCCAGACATCCGCTATAATTATTACGGAAATCAAGCTAAGCCATGAGTCAGACTAAGGATGCAGCTGACCAAAACTTTGATTACATGTTCAAACTGCTTATTATTGGCAACTCATCTGTTGGGAAAACGTCGTTCCTCTTCCGGTACGCCGATGATAGCTTCACCTCAGCCTTTGTTTCAACTGTGGGAATTGACTTCAAAGTTAAGACAATATTCAGACAGGATAAAAGAGTTAAACTTCAAATATGGGTGAGTATGTGACGTTTTTATCCCTTACCTCACCGTGTTATCAACCAATAAATCATGAATAACGCAGGACCTGCCACATTTCCGTCTGTCCGAGTTATCATCTCATAGTAGCGTAACAAGGAAATATTACCAAGATTACTTCTGTAAGAATAGGTTATAAAATATCAATGACAGTAAAAGGTTAACACAGTACAGGCGATGTTACTTGAGAAGATTCGTAATCCTTGCTTTTATTTCATTTCAAGGATATGGAAACCTCACAAATACATCTTCCTATGTCCTAACTTATAACTGTCTTTTGCCGTATTGTAGGACAAATTATCGAAATGCATCAGTTTTATACATATCAGATCTAAAGTATGTTTAAGATATGTATACCTTTACTAAAGTTCTACTGAATTTGATGTTTTCCTCGGACTATGGTAAACATTATAACAGCTGGTAATCTTAGTAGTATGCATTGAGGGATGTTCACTTTTGTCACTTCTACTTTTCTTAAATGTAATGCTTAAGGGATCCAAATGTTTATCCATCGCTTCATGAATATACCTATATGGAGGTCTTTAAATCCTTTGACGAGGTAATATGGTATTTATTATTAGCCGAACAGGTTAAAAGGATGCATCGTTACAAGTTTAATAAAAAGGAATTCTTCAGTTACATTTCGCACCTAGAATTTTTGGTGTTGCGATCAAGTCTTAAATGTGTTTATTATGTTTTCTATCGGGATTACACTAGGCCTAATCACGATAAGTACTAAGAAAGGGTTACCCCTCTTTGCGACTCATTCGCTTTTGAGTCATTCAGATATGTCAAAATATTATGTAACTCGGCAGTGTCCCATCTCATACTTCATATCTGAGGATCGGCGTATAATCATAAATACTCTACTAGTGCTGCCGAAATTTGATCACTTCTAAAAGGAATGGTGGTTAAATGTAAAATCCCAAATGAACATGACAAAATAATCGAGGAGGTAAGATTTAAACCAAGCTTTATGCATAATGTACTACGCATTACAAATCAACACCTAGCTAATTGTTTATCTTTTCATAAATGGAGGAAGTAACTGTGCTGTACTTCAAAATGTAGATTTTATTCTAAGCTAATTATTCATACAAACCGGCAGGTGTTTTGCGAAATCGACCATCATAACCCGTACAATTTTATTTTTCGTTTTTCTAAGCAGCTATTCAAATACCATTTTAGGTTTGTTTTGTTGGTTGGTTTTGTTTGTCTGCTTCCCAGTATATATGACAAATTGTTCTGGTGTGTGAATATACAGGGTTTAAAATGTCAAATAGGTGTCTACTGCGTGCGCAGAAAATTTGTTCGAGAGTCTTATTCTCATGAGTTTTGTTCATTCCAATGCTATCACCAGCCACTATTAGTGGCTCCGAATATGTGTATATAATCTTTGCTCCAGCCTTTTGATTTCTAAGTTTGTTGTCTGAAGTAGTCAAGCAGATTTCATGTACCATAATCTATATATACTCATTAAAAAGACTACTGGTTCATTTTCAAAAATCTAAATAACTACGTTTGCGTGTACAGTAGGTTTATTAATATTATTTTTATGCACCATAGTTTTTAATTACCTACAATAGAAACATTTGTTTAAAAAAAGTATTTATCCCATATCGTTGCTTACTAACTGACCTAGTCAAATAAATAATTATGGGACTTACATAGTAGGTATTGATTACAGGTTCCTAGTATGTAGGCTGATTACCCAGTTGTGTAGGTTTAATTTTAGTATCTACTGGAAATAACATTTGTTAACTAAAACTAAGTTCGAACCTATCATCACAATCTTAATCATGTCTTTTCTACAAATCTGATCATCAATCATGCAATCCAGGTTATCCCATGCTTTTTACAGTATAAAACATACAATCAATTGTTTAAATTAGTGCTCGGCAAATGATAATCATTTACAAGGTTTCTTGTAAACTCGAAATCTAGACCCACTGGCTTTGCTAAGCTATATTATTTTGCTGTAATTCCTTATCAATTTTTATAACAGAAGTTTGTGTCAGTGCGTAATTTCTCTAAATCTGTTAGTCAAAATTTACTTAGCCCATATATATTGAAATTATCACATTTTCAGTACTGTTCCTTTCGTAAACCCTTCGACAAAAAATGTAGTTCAAGACGGAATTTTTTCATATCGTATCTCAAAGTAAGCGATGCATCTTATTGACCTGAAGGATAAAGTTTGTATAACTTACCGTTAATGGTTAGCTAGCAAAAAGGGAACAATTTATCGATGGAATTTTTCAAAAATTATGAATATGTCTACCTTGGCTCATGTAGTAAATTACTTTTCCGTACTATGTTTGGTTATCACTAATATTGTAGTGAAGGAGAACACAGGTGAGGGCAACCGAATTGTATTTAACGAAAATTACATAGTTACTCAGTAAAATAGGAAAACCATATCGTAAACGGTTAATTTGCAAATCTTCAATCCATTGTCTGACATTTCACTATTCATTCATGCGTTTCATACAAATTCCATTGTGTTTTCGCACTCTTCCTTTCTTGATCTTCCCTCATCTACTGCTGCCAGACATTACATTTACACTCACGTCATATACTACTTATAAGTAGCGCGCACCACGGTATGATTGTTTCATGGTCTCATTGTCAAATCATTGATTGATTGGTTGGTTGATTAATTGACCATGTTGGCCATGATGGGGATGCTTTTCAGTCCACAATTATCAGGAAAATTTTTCAGTAGATAATGGTTGTACTATAAAAGAAGGAAAAATGTCCCGTAATTGTTGAAGTATGTTTAGTATATAGATTGACAAAGGATCGAAATCAGGTTATCACAATGTCGAATATTAGTAAAATTCTAATTTGTTAACTTCTCACTGAATTTTAATTTTTTTCTTACATAGTCGTTTACTAAGTATGTACGTAAATCGCTAACACACTCTCAAGGAAACATTGTTAATTTTTGTGATCAAGGGAAAAAATTTCTATTCCCATTTTGTTAGAAATATGTAAATTCTCCCAGAATTAATGTTAGGCTATTTTCATTTATATGAACCCCAAACTAGGACACAGCTGGTCAAGAACGTTATCGTACTATAACAACAGCTTATTATCGTGGTGCAATGGGTTTCATATTAATGTATGATATTACCAATGAAGAATCTTTCAATGCTGTACAAGATTGGTAAGTGATTTTATCTCAGTTTATTCTTTGTATAGAAAACTTCAATTTTATGCAAATTATATCTCACATATTTTAAATCATTAGGACTCATTTAGACATTTTGCTTATCAGAAAAACGAAAAAAAAGCACATCTTAATAGTGACAGTAATCAGAGTTCTTTAAGCCAAGCAAGGGTCTTACAGAAGCGAAAATAGATGGAATCCCAGTCATTGGTCCAAGTGACAAGATACAATATATAGTCAGTCGATAACTGCTCACAAGACAAAGCCTATGACGTATATCCCTGATGAACTGATACAAAGATATGACCGCTTACCAGATGCATAGGTCTTTTGTCCAGTAAAATATTGTGTACACAAAGTATTAAGCACGAAAATAAGCATAATCATAAGTCAGTTGGAACATAAACGATATTTTTTGAAACTATGGATCGATTGATGTTAGACCATCATTATAAACTTGGAAGCATTGGACGGCCGTTTCGTCCTGGTGTGGGTATGCACTCCTGCGGGGTGCGGGAGTCGTGGATGCGCACTGCTGAGGAGTCCCATACCAGGACGAAACGGCCGTTCAGTGCTTCCAGGTTTCTAATGGTGGTCTAACATTAATCGATTCATGATTTCAAAAAATGTGTAACTTAACAATCTTCACAACCCCGTAATGCACATAAACGACCCTAAGATAGCGATCGCATCGGTAATTCACTTTCTTGGCTGTCTTCAAGATGAGATTAGAGAAGATTAGTATTATATTTTATCCGCACTCTGTTAGAAATCTTCATCAGGAATAGAAACAATGTAGAATTGTTATTTCTCCCTTCCTATATACAAACAATTCGAAAATAATAGTTACGTTACTCTTCTCTCAATCTTTTCGTAAGAAGATTGAAAAAAACATTCATTCATACAACAGATACAACCTCCTATTTATCTTATTTGACTTACTGCTCTTCTGGTTTTGATTCTCTAAGAGCTATTATAATACCAAATAATATTCAGGTGACTTCCAGAGGATGCTCATTATACACGTGGTCTGTCTAATAAATGAACTAACAAGTTGTAAAATTTTTGTTAAAACTTGAAGAAAATGTTCAAGATTGATTGTTAAAAGATGCTTATGGGAATGAATAATGCGTTGAAGAAAGCATCTCTAAACTAATTAATTGTTTCAGTGAGGTTGTAAAAGATAAAAGAATAATGTAAGGTTAATACGATTGTTGACTTGATTTGATTTTTAAAAAAAAATCAGACATTGTGGTCTGCTGTTATGTTTTTCAGTTGCCAATCCACTGTTTGACTGTTTATCACAACCAAAATTGAATGTGAGAAAGTCGTTTATGCATGTGATTCTAGTATAAGGCGAAGCGAGTATTCAGTTAAAAGTTCATTTTTTTTTTAATGGACAGATTATGTGTAATAAAGTATTCAGTATAAATTTAATATCACTAATCATTTGGATATGCTGATAAGAAATAAAAGATATATTTGTCTGTTATGGATGCACGTAAACACTTCAATTTGATATGCTTGAGGGGTCCACGAGATGATAATAATCGATGGTTAGAGACCCTGAATGACATGGCTCAAAATCGTTCGCAATGGCGCCGGTGCATTTATGCTTTGTGTTCTCTCAAATCCTAATCTTCTGGGTTCTTCAACACCTCTAGTTTCGACTCTCTAAACTTTTCTTACTGAATCATACTTCTTGAATAATATCTTCTAATCCTAACCTCTCCGATTACTTCTAATTCCCTTACTACCTCTTCTACTATTGGATTTGAATTGACGATTACTTCTCTGTGCTGATGTGGTATGGCAACATGAACTGATGCACTTATGTACAAAGTTCTAGGTTGCATCTGACTGACTGACTGACTAATATGCTTGAACTATTACGAGTTTACCTTAGTCGGTAAACGAGAGCGATGATCCAGTGACACGACATGTTACTCTAATCCGATGGTCCTAACAACCCATTGAATAAAAGAGAAATACTTGATATGAAGTAGGACCTGTATTCTACAAGCATCCAGAAAGTACAAGGTCCGAGTCAAGAAGAGAATCAAGATCTCCGAACTAAGAATCCGGGTTCGGGTCATGAAACGTTACAGATAATGCGTATTTATACAGTTAAGACGACCAATAGGAAACATTTGAAGTACGTGACATTGATATCTAGGACGACCATAATATTGACCAATAGATTCTCTTAGGATATTTGATAAATATCCTAACATTGTCACCACAGGATATTAGAAAAAAAACAGTCATTTGGTCCATGATAATTGTATAACGAATCACAAGGTGATGATAGTATTGTGAAGATAAATTCACTAAGTAACTCTGGTTAACGATTTCTTATCTTATGTAATAATTTATCAATTCTATTTTTGACTACCAAAGATATCAAAAAATCAGAGGAAAAGAGAAAAATCTTGAAAATTCACATTCATGTTTATGTCATAAAATTTGAACTATGAACAAGAAAAATACCCCGAAATCTTTATGGTTAAATTGTACCGTTCGTTACTCAATAACACTAAAAACCCGGTTTCCATTGAATTTAATTAATGTGACCGAAAAGTCGGTTTAAATGTGATGTATGTGTGTCCATTGTTTTTTCTTGTGATCACTAACAAATGTCCTGTAATTAGTCGCTTCTCTTTCCTTATCCTTACCTACCTACCCAACTTATCTTTTCTTATTGTTATTCATTAAAAATAGGGTTATTAATTTCATTCTCTGTCTATTTTTCATTACTAATTGAAGTTGGTCGTATCCAAATTCAACTAGCTCACTAGCGGGCATTCACAACCTCACTAGGAATCAAGCTCTCAGAACCTGATGTCATGACAAGTAGAATGCCCCTTTAATAAGAAGTGGTTTGATCTTACTTCATTACTTACGCCTTTTACCCCTAAAGGAGCATAGGCCACCGACCAGTTTTCCCCAACCAACTCTGTCCTTGACTTCCCTCGCCAGTTCTGTCCAATTTTTGTTCGTTCTTCTCATGTCTTTCTCTATTTCTCGGCGTAATGTGTTCTTTGGACCTCCTCTTTTCCTTTTGCCTTGAGAGTTCCAAGTGAGGGCTTGTCTTGTGACGCAGTTGGTTGCTTTTCTCAGTGTGTGTCCTATCCACTTCTACCACTTCTTCCTGATTTCCTACTCCACTGGAATGTGGTTTGTTCTCTCCCACAGTTCGTTGTTGCTGATGGTGTCTGGCCAACGAATGCGAAGTATTTTGCGTAGACAACTGTTAGTAAACACCTGTATCTTGTGGATGATGGCTTTCGTAGTTCTCCAAGTTTCCGCTCCATACAGTAGAACTGTCTTGACATTTGTATTGAAAATCCTGATTTTGGTGTTGATTGATTGTTTTGAGTTCCAGATATTTTCCAATTGTAGAAATGCAGCTCTTGCTTTGCCAATCCGCGCCCTCACATCTGCATCGGATCCACCTTTCTCGTAGATGATTCTGCTCAGATATGTAAAGGTGTTACCGTCCTCCAAGGCATCTCTATCCTCCAGTTTCGTCCTAGCTGTTCACTGAATACCGTGCTTCCCTCCAGATGTCGATGTCTTCATAATCCAGTCGATCACCAGGAGAAAGAGAAAGGGTGAGAGTAAGCAACCTTGCCTGACACTAATCTTCACTTCGAACGAGTCTGTCAGCTGTCCTCTCTGTAAGATTTTGCAGTTGAATCCATCAATAAGAATTCAAGTGGTTTGATACTCAACTTTAATTCATTCATGATCTCTTGTGCTATTATTGGTTAGTGTTAAAATATAGTGAACTCACAAACTATATAGGAGTCTACTCTTACATTTTCCATCTAAGTTTTACAAAAAATGTTTCTTCAACCAATAACGATAAAAACAATTGTGTGTATTTAGAGTGATTCAATTATCGATCGACTGTTATTCTATTTTTTTTTTAATAAATTGGACAAATGTATTGAAACCGTGTACTTTGTGATTAGCTTTTTTTCTCTGAATTATTGATTTTATTTCCTTTCAAAGTCACGTGTTCTTTGGAAGTTAGTTTTGTTGTTTTTCTTCTATACCAATAGATTATTCATTATGCCTGCCTTCAAAGTATCATATGCTCATTAAATACTTCTATTATTATTATTATTATTATTATTATTATTATTATTATTATTCATGTAGCTGCTATTCAACCCGTTCATATGGATTGTACAGAAAATGTTAATACTGTTTTAAAAAGCTTTTACTAAGCCATTATGAAATGAAACTGACACCTTGGGAGGTATATGATTCTTGTCAATTGAAGCAATTTTACCCGAAAAATAAACATAATCACAAAGTTATATATTTTATATTACGGGGTTGTGAAGATTGTTAAGTTACACATTTTTGAAATTACATGAATCGATCAATGTGTTAGACCACCATTACTAGAAACCTGAAAGCATTGTTTTGAGGGCCGTTTCGTCCTGGTGTGTGGGACTACTCATCAGCAATGGCAGTGCGCATCCACGACTCCCGCACCCCGCAGGATTCGAAGCCAGGACCTTCGGTATTGTGCGCAAACGCCCTAACCATCGGACCACTGAGCGGGTATCTATTTTATACGCTGTTGTTTTTTCTTGCTGTATACTTGTTTATAAAAGTACCTTTTCTCTAGGGGTGGTATACTTGCCTGCTTGTAAAGAATGTTTCCTTTTGTTGCTTTTTGAAGCTGCTGCTACCTTGACGTGGTGGTTGGGCTTGCCTATCGTGATGACCCAACCGAGCTATATTGGCCGGAACTTATGTTCCTGAAGGTTCTACCATGTCAGGCGGGTAGGTCGATTGGAGAGCGATGAGACTAAAAGCAGCTACTCAAGGTCTGAGGGCGAAGTCGTACTGCTGACTGCAGAGGGGTGTGACAGCAGTAAGGTGTTTCCCCTGGACAACCAGCATCTGCAGCGATGCTGCCTTCTCACAAGGAAGGAAGGGTTAGAAAAGGTCGACCCTAAAAATGTCACACCTCACTCTACCTCATGGATTTCCGTCTCCTTGGGTAAGGGTGCCCACTAAGGGCTTTCAAGAGCGGAGCTAGCGCTCAAAAAACTCAAAAAGGCCGTGTGTGACCGGCCTGAAGCAGTTGTCCCTTGGGCTCTGCAGTCACGCTCCCGGGTAGTTAAGACCAACACTAATCTACCTTCCTTTTCAGGTTCCTCAAGAAACACCCTTCCATGGTGTGGGTAGCCGGAAAGTGACAACCACCCTCATACCCGTGTAACAACACACGAGACCAAATTGGTCAAAATTAAATCCTTCCTACACCCCCTAATACCTCTGGCTGACTGCTTTTTGAACAAGTGTTGCAGAGGAGCAACACTTTATAGACTAAAGAAAAAAAAACCCTTTAGTGTTCAATTTTTTTCTTCTCAAATTGTGTAAATTCATAATCTGCTCTACACTTTACTTTTAGATATTATTTTTTAAAACAACAAGCATTTGCCCATTGCCGACCGACTGACTGTATTTATAAACGTAGGATTGATTAAATTGTTTGACTATTACTGTGTGTTTTTATTAAATTATATACAGTCGTTGAATAGTGAATGTTTGTATCACCATCCCCTGTTTAAGTAGATAGACTACAATACTCTATAACCATAGAGCAGGAGGTAGATAAAAGCCGCTTATTTTCTGTTGTGGATTCTCAATTGATATGTATTGTTTGTTATTCAGTCTCTCTCTCAATCAATCTATCTATCTATCTTTTAATGTATTGACCAATAAATAGTTCAATAATATTTTTACACTTTGTTTATATCTTTTTATTTTTTCTAAATGCAAACTTCATACTACTCATTGTATTCAAAAAAAACAATTAGGGTAACTCAAATTAAAACCTATTCATGGGATAATGCACAAGTGGTTCTTGTCGGTAATAAATGTGATCTTGAAATGGACAGAGTGGTATCAGTTGATCGAGGCAGAAATTTAGCGCATCAATTAGGTGAGTTTTATTATTATTATTATTTTCTAATTTATATTTACCAAGCTTTCGGTATTGAATTATTAACTCAATCATGCGTGTGTGTGTGTGTGTGAATCTGTCCTAAATTTTAATGATTCTTTTATTTAACTTTCATTCACCAGTATAATTTGAAGAATGGCAGATCAATAGATGAAGTAGTGACACTTCATCAGTTGAGGTGGTTAGGACATGTGTTGCGTATGCCCAACCACCGACTGCCTCGACGAGCTTTGTTTTGTAGTGTAGGAATAGGTTGGAAGAGAGCTCTAGAGGTGGCCAAACCAAAACATGGCAGGAATGCATGAAGTCATTGACGAGTGGACTTAGCCATGTCGGTAATTGTCGACTACCTGGTTGGGGTCCGCGAGATGATAATAATCGATGGTTAGAGACCTTGAATGACATGGCTCAAAATCGTTCGCAATGGCGCAGGTGTATCCTCTCTTTGTGTTCTCTCAAATCCTAATCTTCTGGATTCTTCAACACCTCTAGCTTTTACTTTCTAAACTTATCTCATTGAATCATACTTCGTGAATAATATCTTCTAATTCTAACCTCTCCGATTACTTCTAATACCTTGACTACCTCTTCTACTATTGGATTTGAATTGACAATTACATCTCTGTGCTGATGTGGTATGGTAACATGAATTGATGTACTCACGTACAAAGTTCTACGTTGCATCTGACTGACTGATTGACTGAGTATAATTTGTCAAAATGCAAGTTGAGTTTTTTTGTTTGTTTGAATGAGTCAATTCAACTTACCTATCCGGTGGTTGTTCAGATCAATGTTCAATGTAATAATAATGTGTTCAATCTTGTGACACAAATGTTTTAGTCGCTTAAAATGCCACTTAAAATCATTATATATATATATATATATATATATATATATATACTGGTTCACAAAATTTTTTTCCTGAAGTATCTATCATTCCAGCATAGTCATATGAAAATGTATCGCTTGAAGTTGAAACATTAAAACAAAAAAAGCAAGTGATCATTCTTACTTATGTTAGAAAAAAGCTCATTTAGTTTAATTAATGATAAACAATTTAAGTAGAAGACATGACCAGTGGAATTCAACCCTGTTGGGGGTGTAGCCAGTAATTACAAAAGACAAATGGGTGAGGTTGTGTAAAATCTGTAGATTGATCAGAGTTCGACATTAACGCGGTTGGATCCTGGCAAAGTGGTCCTGAGAATAGGCATTCGCACGCAACATTGAAGGTCCTGGGTTCGAATTCTGCAAGTAGCAAGATTCGTAGATGCACACTGCTGATGAGTAGTCCCACACACCAGGACGAAACGGCTCTCTTTCAGTGCTTCCCAGTTTTTAATGATGGTGGTGTTGGTCTAACTTTGATCGATTCATCATTTCAAGTTAGGGATTTAAATGTTTCCATTTTAATCTATTGAATTCGTTGAACGAAGTTAGTTAATTTACCAAGAAAAATTCAATTCTCTTGTAAAATGTGAATTTGTTAATTTGTAGAAATGAATTGTTGTAAACAGGTCATTGTTATACTGTGTCACTTGATGTCAATTAATGGTTTGTACCACGGGCTTAAGATATCACAAATTATTTTTTCCAGTTCATTAAACATGAGTATTCCATTATCAGATGTCTTCGAAGTATTGTTCGTATATCCGGGGATAATTGAGTAAGCAATGCTGCCATTAAGAACCGATTATTAGGTAAGGATGGCAGATCAGTAGATGAAGTATTGAAACTCTTCATCAGTTGAAGTGGTTGGGACATATGTTACGAAAAACCCAACCACCAGCTACCTCGACGAAATTATGTTTTGTAGTGTCTGAGAGTAGGTTCAAAGAACGCTAGATTCGCGGCCAAACCAAAAAAAAACAGAACACAAATAAATCCATGAAGTCATTGTGACAAGTGTGAACTTCAACTTTCATCCGTATAAAGGCAAAACATGCTTGTTTTTTTTTTGAGAAAACACTATAAAATGCACAATCTTCTTTTCTTTTCTGTTTTTTTTTGAAAAGAAACAAATAAAAATGAGTTCAACCAATAAAAAAATAAAACATTTATTCATTTTGTAAATACCATGACAACAAGGTTGAAAGTAATTTTTTTTAATTGTTTGTTGTTGTTGTTCTTTATTTCTTTCTTCCTTTCATTTTAACTTATGACAACGATTTGTGTTGGATCTAACAAAAACGAACAAACAAAGGTTTGGAATTTTTTGAAGCATCCGCTAAAGAAAATATTAATGTCAAAAATGTATTCGATCGTTTAGTTGATATTATATGCGATAAAATGGCTGATAATGCAGAAAATAATCCAGCTGTCACTGGTGGAACATCGAAAGGTGAGTTTTATGGAGGTAGAAGAAGAAATGTAAAACGACCAGTAGTAGTCATATTTGTAATATAAAATTAGATGTTTGTCATAGTAGTAGTAGTGTGGTGTGAGCTACTTATAAGTAGTATATGACACGAGTGTAAACATAATGTCTGGCAGCAGAAGATGGGGGAAGATCAACAAGAAAGAAAGAGTTAGAAAACAATGGAATTTGTATGAAACGCATGAATAGTGACAATGGATTGATGTTTTGCAACAGGAACAGTCCAGTTCGATATGATGAACTGATATTTTGTAAATTAAAACGATTTACGATATGGTTTTCCTATTTTACTGAGTAACTCTGTAATTTGAGATAAATACAGTTCGGTGGGAAATGTGATCTCAAGGTCAACTAACTGATCAGCCCATGAAATAAATCTAAAATAAAGATATTTATCAAGTGAGTTCTGGGGAGCTAACATCCCCAACACAAGTAGTGTGTTTTCACATGACTAGTGAACGAGAACACAGGTGGGGAAACCGAATTGTATTTAACGAAAATTACAGAGTTACTCAGTAAAATCGGAAAACCATATCGTAAATCGTTAATTTGCAAAATATCATTACATTGTCTGACATTTCACTGTTCATGCTTACTTACTTACTTACTTTCGCCTGTTACCCCAAATGGAGCATAGGCCGCCCACCAGTTTTCTCCAACCAACTCTGTCCTGGGCTTCTTCCTCCAGTTCTGTCCAATGTTTGTTCATTCCTCTCATATCTTTCTCTATTTCACGGCGTAATGTATTCTTTGGCCTTCCTCTTTTCCTTTTGCCTTGAGGGTTCCATGTGAGGTCTTGTCTCGTGACGCAGTTAGGTGCTTTTCGTAGAGTGTGTCCTATCCACTTCCACCGCTTCTTCCTGATTTCCTCTTCCACTGGAATCTGACTTGTTCTCTCCCACAGTTCGTTGTTGCTGATGGTGTCTGGCCAACGAATACGAAGTATTTTACGTAGACAGCTGTTAATAAATACTTGTATCCTCTGGATGATGGCTTTGGTAGTTCTCCATGTTTCCGCTCCATACATTAGAACTGTCTTGACTATCCT